TTAATTTAGGAGTAATAATTAGGGATCTTTTTCATTTACCTGTGCTGGAGAACAATGAATAGTTTCTGAGTTCTAGAAAAACATTTTCATATAAACTGTTTATTTGTTCACTTTGGGTCTCTCGGATGTTAGATGCAATAAAAGTCATATGAATGGCTGCACTGGGTTTGACCAGAAATCCAGATACCGATGTGTTGGACAGCGGCAACGATTGAGCAAAAAGAATATGAAACAGGGCAGGTATTGAATATCTCTGCCTGAATAGTGGAAGAATGTGTTTGGAAACCTACCTGTTACAGATTTCCTGAGCTAGAGGTTTGGCATCTTAAACAGCCCTTGAATAGCTTTTCTTCCATTAATTCAGTTGCTTTTTGAGCACGTTTATAGCCTAGTATGGAAGATACCCTGAGACAGTGAGTTCTGCAATGGAATTGCTCAGCATGTAAAAAATACTTGTTTAAAAGCTCTGCTGGACTTCATTTGGTGCCCCTAAGCTCTTATTTTTTGAGGCATATTGCAAATTTCCCCCTTTCCAACTTATTTATGCTGGACATGATTGACTAGACTTTCATCATGTCATCTTTCAAAGTGGAGAAGTCTTAATCTCTTCTTGCTGGAAGTCCTTCCATGGCTTTGTGATTATCCTTTCTCCTCTGCAAATTTTCCTTTTCTAAGCTGTTGTCATCGCACGAGCTTTGGGTGCCCAGGGGATTTAGAGTGGCAGTTTCCTGCTCTCTGCTTCTGAATTCCTCTCTACTTTTTTTTTTGATGTACTGGGGATATGAGAATTCAGGCTGTGATAACTTCGAATTCTCTTTGCTAAGTAATGATACCTGACAGCTTATTACTATGCATATAAAATTGTTTTTCTCACTTGTGTTTCTTCTTTGCATTTATTGACACTTAATTTCACATGCTGTCGTTGCTCAAGCATTCAGCATTATAAGTTTTGTTGTTTTTTTTTTTTTTCCCGACTGTCCCAAACCATTTGCAGCAGTTGCAGGCATTCTCTCACAGCCTGTGTCTTCTGTGCAAAGGCCCGGGTTCCAGCCCGCGCACCTCTGGAGCTCTGCGAGGAGCTCCTCCTCACCAAAAACTCGTTATTCCTATTCTGTAATCCCTTTTGATCAGTTGTTAGTTGACAAGAGGATTTTCTTCCTTATGCAATCATAATGTTGAGCTTTTATCAGAATTTCTGAAAGGCTTTTTGGAAACGCAGGAATATTGTTCCTGTTGGATCGTTTTTGTTTTCCTGCTGCTCAGTGCCTTCACAGACTGCTCTAAGATATGACTAAAGCCTGTGCAAGAAAAACTAATTAACCCTTTCATATGTTTGTGTATTTATTAATCTGTTATGGAAATGAGACTTACTGGCTCATAGCCCCTAGCTCTCCTTGTCCTTCTAAACAAATTTCTCATTCCCTTGGTACTTGGGCTGATTTAAGCCAAGTTACACAGCAGAATAAACAATGCAGGATTTACTGAGTTCAACTGAAAAAAACCTTCCAAAAACCCCTTCTGAAAACCCCCTCCAGCTGTGGAGCAGCTTTAGCCAGGAATATTTAGCAAAATGTTTGCAACATTTGCACTGTCTGGTGGATGACTGGCTTTACGCATCTAAGGTGAAAGTGCACGTGAGTATTCCTGATCAGAGGAATTCAGAGGGGACAACAGTGCAGTAGCTTGCCAGTGCAGTTCTACTGGTGAACTTGAATTCACCGCTAACCCCAAGAGCAAAATGCTTATTTGGAGTCTGTCCTGCCCGCTGCGGTTAAATACATGAGCACTGAAGAATTTAAGTAATCTCATTTCAAAGGTCTTTAAACTGTCAAAACATTGCAGAGAAAGGTCGGAAGTGCAAGTTAGAAGTTAAAAAGTCCTATGGGAACCCAGCGTGTTGGAAGTGTGATGCCTGCCCAGCCGAGTCCTTCAGAAAATGCTGTTTAGAAGCTGGTTTCAGCATTTTTATTTTTAAAAAAGGTTATTGTCTACCAGCATCAACCTAGCTGCTGGGTGGTGTGAACGTTCTCACCTGTACCCAGCGATGTGAGCCCCACGTCTGAGTTTTACGGGAACAGTCCATGTGAAAGCAACTGATGCACGTGAAGAAGCATGCACAATGCCTAGCTAGAGTCATTTTGTATTCAAAATGTGGACCTGATAGTAATTGAGTTTTGGAGTTCCAGGAGGCAAAAGATGGAGAAAATACAGAACATTTCTTTCTCCCCATCAGAAAGTTTCCTGCTAAGTCATCTTAAAAAGGTGTCTGACATATATTTAATAAATGAATACCTCCAGTTGCAAGATTCAGCACTGAAGAAGGGACAGACAGAAACTTTTGTTTCTCTGATTTCTGTTTGAGTGTTGGGGAGTAGTGTCAGGGACAGAACAATACATGTTTTTAGCAAAGTAGTCTCTGTAAGTGACTCCATGCTGTGGGAAATGTTGCCTTCCGTAGGAGGGGAAAAGAGAAAGGTAGTAAGAGCTAATTAAATATAATCAGTAGTGTATTGGCTTTATGTAGCAAGGTTTTGGTAGCAGGGGGCTTACAGGGTTGGCTTCTGTGAGAAGCTGCTGGAAGCTTCCTGTGTCCGACAGAGCCAATACCAGCCGGCTCCAAGTTGGACCCGCTGCCAGCCAAGGCTGAGCCCATCAGCAATAGTGGTAGCGCCTCTGTGATAACATATTTAAGAAGGAAAAAAAGTTGCTGGGACACAGAAATGGCAGCCAGAGAGAGGAGTGAGAACATGCAAGAGAAACAGCCCTGCAGACCCTCAGGTCAGTGCAGAAGGAGAGGGAGGAGGTGCTCCAGGCACCGCAGCAGGGATTCCCCTGCAGCCCATGGGGAAGACCATGGTGAGGCAGGCTGTCCCCCTGCAGCCCAGGGAGGTCCACGGTGGAGCAGATCTCCACCTACAGCCTGGGGAGGACCCCAGGCCAGAGCAGGGGGATGCCCAAAGGAGGCTGTGACCCCGTGGGAAGCCCGCGCTGGAGCAGGCTCCTGGCAGGACCTGCAGACCCATGGAGAGAGGAGCCCACGCTGGAGCAGGTTTTCTGTCAGGACTTGTGATCCTGTGGGGGACCCACACTAGAGCAGTCTGTGACTGAAGGACTGCAGCCTGTGGAAGGGACCCACGCTGAAGCAGTTCGTGAAGAAGGACCCACGTTAGAGAAGTTCGTGGAGGACTGTCTGCCATGGGAGGGACCCCACGCTGGAGCAGGGAAAGTGTGATGAGTCCTGCCCCTGAGGAGGATGAAGCAGCAGAAATAACATGTGATGAACTGACCATAACCCCCATTGCCCATCCCCCTGCACCACTTGGGGGGGATAGGTAGAGAATCCGGGAGTGAAGTTGTGCCTGGGAACAAGGGAGGGGTGGAGGGAAGGTGTTCTGAGATGTGGTTTTATTTCTCATTCCCTTACTCTGGTTGATTGGCAATAAATTAAGTTAATTTTCCCCAAGTTGAGTCTGTTTTGCCCATGACGGTAATTGGTGAGTAATCTCTCCTGTCCTTATCTCGACCCACAAGCCCTTTGTTATATTTTTTCTCTCCCCTGTTCAGTTGAGGAGGGGGAAGTAATAGAACAACTTTGGTGGGCATCTGGCATTCAGCCAGGGTCAACCCGCCACAAGTAGAAATCACTTTTAAACCTGTTGAAGTGTCTTGAGTTGTCTAACAGCAAAAGGCACGGTGTGGGTGATGGGGACTTTCTTCCCAGAGCCAAAGTATACCTCGCAGGGCCTCAGAAGGTACCTGGGCACTGAGGTGGATGATCATCACTTCCTCAGACTGGGACAGAACTAGTTTAAATGTTGTCTTCAGGATTCTCTTCATCTTCTCTGGTCTTTATGGGTGGACATAGCTAAACAGGAGGGATGTGGACTGTTAGAGGCATGTTGCTGTGAGATTCTCTCCAGCCCACAGCTGATGATTGTTTATTTACTCTCTCTAGCATTAGCACGCGGAAGTACTGTGCCAGAATCTCACCCACACAGCTATAGCACTATGTCTCTTCCCACCATATTCATATAACCCTCCCCAGCTTGTTTTGTCACAGATCTTCAGTATAAAACCTCCTTCTGTTGGAACAAGGGGTCTTGTTTCTAAATATCACTGAACACATGAAGTAGAACTGTGACATTTTAGAATGAGTTCTTACTAGCTCATAAGGGGGGAGCGCTCCAGCAGGAAAATTTTCATGCTTGACTTTCCTTTGATTTAAAGCTAGAGCTGAGGGTTTTTTTTTTAAACAGCTCCAGTGATGTATTTTTATCTAGCTACATTATCCCAGCATGACTCTCTTACAAAGGCCAGTAGAGAAGGAGTTACCCTTCACCTCTCCCCACTTTTCTTCCCCTACACCCCGGAGCAGAAGCCAGCCTATCGGCACTGGAAGTCTGCACTTAGCTGTGAGGAGTTACAGGCTATTCTGTTTCCTCGCAGATCCTGCCTTCATGTCCAATTGCTTGTCCCAATCCTCACACTACATAGAACAGAGACAAAAATCAAAATTATATTCAGTCACTGCATTGACAGCCTGGCCTCCCTTCCACTTGGGAAGTTCACTGAAGCAGCCCAGAGAATGTCAACATGAAAATATCAGCATGCCAGTTCAATGGCAGCAGACATGTATGTTGTCGGTACCAAGTGATGTTAAACATGAGGTAAACATTGTGTAAGAGTCACTATTATATTGAAACCAAGCTCATTAGGCATGCAGGCCACCAGCAGAACAGTAATGAACACAAATACACTTCCATGTATTTTTAAGGCAGAGAGTATTAAAGACTGCCAAACAGACAAAGATGCTGCATGTCCTGTGGAATTTCCTTCCCCCACCTCAACACACTTGACACATGGATTTGGAAGCAAGCAGCTGTGTCACATTGGCAGCAGCGATGAGAAACTAAAGGTCAGGAGTGAGGCGTCTTGTCCAGGTGTCTGCCACAGCCATGTAGACACAAAGGTACACCACACCAGTACTAATTCAGTATTAATTACCGTGATACCGATCTTAACACTGTATCCTTTGTTGCCAGATGTGCAGCTAGGTTCTCTCGAAAGTCATGGAGGTAATTGTATTGCTGAAAAAGCATAACCAGATTTGTAGTGAGTGCTCTATACTTTCAGAAAAGGCACTGCCTATCTTAAAAAGCTGTTTGATACCCCAGGATAAAAACTGCACCTTCTAGCCCGTTTATTTGTTCTTCTTGTGCTTACTCCAAATCCTCTGGAATTTTTCACCATCGGACACAGATTACGTGGATCCTGGCTTGGCTCCTGTGGTTCCTTATAAAGGGCACATGTGAGCTCAAGGGAATGCAAAACATGGTCCTTATAGGAGAGAGTTTCATGTCAGAATTCAAAGCTGCTTTATTTGGGTTACCAAGAGTTATTACTCTCTCCATAATGAGTCCATGATGCAGAATGCAGCCTTTAGCTAGTATGATGATGTACAACAGTTTGTGGTAAGCTCTTAGGTCAACTCATACATCATGTGGAATATTAAGAAGCAAGTGTTCAACATGAGATAAAAGTGTTGGTCAGCAGAGGCTAAAGGACAGATCATCCCCCCCAGGTGGCTGTGAGGGCTTCCAGTTGTAACATTTGCTCATATCCTTCCCTGCCTCTTCAACCAGGGATGCAAGCTGCTCCCCACCTGCCCCTTTGGTTTGAGGAAAATTGATTTTCAACAAGTAGTTTAAACAAGATTTGCCTTCCAGAGAGGCTTAGAGCTAACAAAGAGACAGTCTTTAGGCAACTTTCTCCTCAGAAACTAGTCTTGTAAACTTTTAAAATGTCAGCTCCTCTTTCCTGTACATAGAACTATTTTAAGACCATAACATCTTGGACTTCTATCAACAAAAATATGTACACAGAGTAGCTAAAAATCCCACCGAAAGAAGAAAAACCCTATTCTGCTTGGCAACTTAGGCCTCCCTCCACGTAGGTTTTAACACTAGTGCTAGGGATACTTCTTAAAAGGCAACTGCCAGTGTATCGATGTGATAGCTACAGAAGATGAACATGGCTAGCTTGGTTACAAAGACGGAACAAAACCAAGGCAGGAAAATCAAGCAATGTCCAAGTTGCAAGGAGCATGTGAGCAACAGAAAAAAAAGGACAATAGCTTAGTGAGTGGTGAGCAGGGATAAGGAGGAGAAAGCAACACTAGTGATGGTGGAGAGCAGGCAGGGAGAACAGCTGTTGAAGGCAGAACAAGACAGATTCAGCATGCAAGCAGAAATCTAGAAGCGGCTCAAACCCAAGAGAGCAGCAGGGGCACCAACTGTGGAGCTTCTCAGAAAGACACAGGGATCCCTTTGTGAAACAGGGAGGACTGTCCCTGCTCTCTACCCTTGTTTTGACACGTGCATTACCTGTTGTAGCCTTATTACCTTGATGGTCTGTATCGCCCCAGATCCTCTCAAGTTTCTGAGCCTGTCTATTACTTGCTGAGGTGCCAGCGTGTCCGAAAGCTGAAGCAGGAGACATGCAGCTACTGTAAGGGAAAAGTATAAACGTATATATGCTACACAGTACCACTTTTGCACAGTAATAGGTTTGCTCCATGAAAACCACTCTAGCAAAACTCAACCTTGTCATATCAGGGTCACAGGTCTGTTGGATCTTTTGCTGAATACTATTTGTTGGCACTGGCCCCATCTGCCTGCTGCTCCTGCCCAAGCCTGCAGGCTTTGGAAACAGGCAAAAACCTGCCCACTTTTCCCCACCCTGCCTTTCTAGCAGCGTTCAGGAGGCAAATTCTAAAGTCTTTCCACGAAGAAGTCCCAGTACACCCAGTTAATTCCCCTTTGTGTCTTCTGACCACATTTGCTTTTTTGGCAATGCCACCACCCCTTCCTTCTGGGGCACACACAGTAACTAATGCCCCTGAAAGCTTTAGGGGGGACATTGGGCTGAAGATGCAGAGGAATAGGTTCATCTCCTTTTCTTGAGGAGATGTTCAGGGAAGAGGGGAAAGTACAATCCCATCAGTCAGAGGAGACTAAAATCTGCAGTGAAAACAGAGATAGAGTCAGAAGGTAAGAGGGAACTTACTATCAGCCTCACTGAAAGACTGACCCTGCCTGACCCTCCATCCCCTCACCTACGCACTCAGGTCTATACCGTGACATACTTACTTCACTCATCACAAACAGTTTCTATACAGGCAGCTATGTTACTACCATTTGACAACACCATTCCCAAGAAACGGACGCAAATATATTTAACTAGCCTTCTACCTGTAGTGACAGTTTGCATTGTAACCACAGTTAAGCTTCAAGCAGAATTTGGCTCTTTTAGACAGTGCTGTCTCACGAAAACAGGTTTGTAGGATGGGTTAGTTAATCAGGCATTGAGAGGGAGAAGGCAACTGCTTACTGAGACATGAGCGTCCAAGGCCACCGTAACAGCTGAAAGAGAAGAGAACGTCTGAGTGTAACAAGCTGTAGTATGCTGCAACACCCAGAGCCCCCCTCAATACGTAAATATATGGACACAATTTCTTGCAAGAGGAGCAGCGGTACAAGAAAGTCAGAATAAGAATTTCTGTAGAAATACCTACAAGGCTATCCCCCATATATTCTTCAGACCTTCCTTAAGTAGTATCTTTCTAGAGAAACTGCAATTTTAAAGTTCCCCTTCGTTCATGGTTAATAGTCCCAAAGGCACTGGAGGACAGAAAACGGCATGAAGACTGACAATCTCAGTTTTCTTTAAATCCTACTCCAGATTCAGGCTGCTGTGACAGTTGTCACAGCAGGGTTCTGCATCAGCAGGAAGACAACAGTGGATGTCAGTGTGGGGAGCTGTCAGCAGGATCATTCAGGGAACACAGAACTTGGAAAGCTCTTCCCCTCTACCCTGAGCTCAGCTACAAGTGTCTGAAGAAATTACTTTAAACCAATCTCATGCAATTTAAGAGTGAATTTTGCACTGCTGGAACCCATTGAGCCCCTGATAAACAGCCCGGGGTGTGTTACCCTCTGACAACAGCTGCATTAGCTTACAACTCATATTGTATACCTGATATCCAACTAGGCTAGCAGCAAGGAGTCATATGGTGCCATTCAACACAGACTTTGAAGCGCTTGCTGGACAAAGCAAGGGGAAATGGGAGATTCAAATCTTACAAAGGACAAGTTAGGTCCAAAAGGGTGCCTGAGGAGAAACAAGCAGCTTTTCACAGCTTGAACTAACCCTAAAGAACACAATTGTCATTTGACAGGATTCTGTTTCAGCTCATCATATATCTAGAGAAGCTAGTATCTTTTACAGGAACATGGGGTGAAAGGGAAGCAACCAGAACCTACTGTATGATTGTTTTCCGGTTACTTTCCAGGCAGCTTCTGAGCTCTTCCAGAATTTTGCAGCACTTGGCAATGTCAGGAGCATCCCCGTCAAGAATAGGATAGTGGTGCACATAGATCCCATGCTGTTGGTAGGTGTCTATAAGGTTTGGTACTCGGTATTTTAAGAGCTCTCCTCTGGTACAAAGCACAAATATATCCTGGGTCCCATAGTTCTTTAGTTCTTCTGCCAACAGATTAAGACATTTGCAAATAAACAAAAGCCTATCAAGCTTAAGGATAAACAGATAAGCTACTTGGTACCGATTCTCTTGTTTAGTCTTTGAGGTTAAGACAATAGGAGGTAGCAATTTTGCTTTGAGCAGCATTTTCCTCTACTGAGTCTCTCCCACAGTTGCCCTCAGGTAAACCACGAGAGAAATTTTCTCAGTTCAGAGTGAGTCTCAAGACAAGCCTCACTAGAAAGCACATCAGCACTTAGAACAGCCTGTTAACTGCTGCCTGCTTAAGCATGATTCTGTCCCATCTCTGGCTGTGACTATGTCCAAATACCATGGGTTTTTGCTATTAGTCTCTGCTCTTCTAGCGTTTACAGACAAATACTCAGCACAAGTCTTTACATAATTTCATCTTTTCTATCCTAATCTCAGTTTTCTCTGGAAAGAGGAGATTACAAGTTTGTAATTTGTCTTGATCTTAGCTGCTTTGAAGATACCTTCTCCTGTACGTGACTTAGAAGACCTCATGGTTACTGTGAAAGTTATGCAGATGCCTGTATAGCTCCAGCCTGGAAATACACTGACTACTTATTCAGTATTTGAATACACAAGCCACAAAGAAAGCCGCACTGCACACTCGAAAGTGATATCTAGTACCCATAACACTGATTGTGCTAAGCTATTTGCTGCATCTTCAAGCACAGTATTACCAAAACTCAGAAAGACATTGCTGTCAGACATACTCCCAGCAAGATTTTGTAAAGAACTGCCCTGCATTCTAACATCATGGCATGCACATGGACAATTATAGCATCCATTGTAAAAGTATGAATAAAACACCACTATTTTAGATACCTGGCGTCTGGATCCTTATGCCCAGATTTGATAAACAGCAACTCCAGTAGTCTTCCAAGACAAAGTAAACCCCTAGCTTCTCAGTAATGTATGCTTTCAGTTTACCTGCACATTGTTCTTGCCCATTACATGAAAACAAGAGGCACTTATACACTGGCCAGAAGACTCACCTATATCTTTCTGAAGATTTCTTCTAACATCCTTAAACCTGCAACCTAGAAGAAATTATGAATAACAATTACCACTCCAGGTAAGTGACATTTATGGAATGGCTGCTACAGCTGATGAATAGAGCACAGACAACCTCCCCCCAAAACCAAAGCTAGCAACAAAGCCACACCCCAAATAAAACAGTTCTTATTTTTGCAAATAGATCACTAGCGCAGAAGACAGTTTAAACACCATTATCTGCTTAATACTGTAATGTAATAGGATTAAAAAAAATCTGCCCAAGGTTTTAAGCTGCTGTGCATTTTGCAGATGAAAAGTTTTGGATATTATAAATCAGGATACAGCTTAGAAAAAACCCACAAACCAAGAAAATCCAACAAATAAAAGGGCTGGATAGAGATCACTTAATACTTGTCTGGTTGATGAGTGGGAAAGGAAGTTCCCTCTTCTGTAATACTCAGCACAAATCACATTAAAAGTCCTCCTTACCATTCAATCTTCAGCATATCGCCACTTCCATTTTTTCCTCTTATCATGCTACCAAGGCATTTTTGCAGCCCCTACAGAATACTGCTCTGTGATATTCACAGCTATTGTTTGGTTTGTGAGATGTAATTGCTTAAAATATTTGCACTGTGTCCTCCCTCTGTCTCCCCTCCTTCACTCACAGCCCCATAGGCACACAATCTACACCTGCCCTGACAACAGTCAGGATTCTGCATATCCTGAAACACCTTTTGAAAGCATGACAGCAGAATCCTGCAGACCAAGAGCTGTATCGGCAGGGCTACCACTGGAGGGTAGCATCTGAAGACTAAACAGCTATTACAAGAACAGCTCAGGTAGCTAAAACCACAAAATGCAGCTATTTTTTTGCATACATATGTTAACTGGCGTTCGAGTGATAGTGGGATTTTCATCAGCACTGGCCATCATCCACTTCAAGATGCCTTAAATCCAAATATTATTCAACACTTGTTTTTTTAGTTCTTTAGTGTAGTATTAGTCCCAAGCTTGTATTTCTCAGAGTTGGCTAATGAAAATCAAGTAACTGTTTTAAATGAAGTAGGCAAAGTTCACCAGCAGTTCCATCTCTTTTGTGACCAAAGGAGATTCACCATGGCTGCAGTTTTGGTAGTTAAAAAGACAGAGAAAGCTTATATGTTTATTTTTATACCATGGCCATGGTAGTGCAACCCAGATGCTAAGGGAGAGCAGTACAGGACTGTCAGCACAGTGAGTGAGTATAATCTGAGCCCAATATATCTTATAAAGGAATTATTTGTTAAAGCAGTCTGGTTTCAGTTATGTTGTTGCTTGTTATAAATAGTAAGCCCGGCTAAAGAGCCAAATATTTTAACTGACAATGGAAGATGGCCACTGTTTTCTTACCACTATGCCATATGATCTTGCGTTAGGATATTCTCTACATTAGCTTTGGTATTTCCAAAACAATTATTCCAGTGGTAGATTACAAAACAAGCCACCCCACCCAGTAAATGGAACACAGAATTTTGGGGTACAAGATGTTACCTCTCTTCAGCTCCAAACATGCCTGTAAATTTCAGTGAACGCTTCTTACCTGGAAGGGAACATAATCCCAGGGACTCAGAAGAGTAGAAAGGAGACAAAGACAACCTACCAGGAAATAAAAAGTATAATTAAAAAATCAGAACAGAATATTTTGATTATTCAAATAGAGATAACTCACTGCTAGACATTCCTTTTCTGTGGGATTGTGAGAAGAGTTACCTGCCTATAATTCAGTTTTAAGAATAAACCTTAAGTATTCAAGTGTTATTGCTACAACATGAGGCAAGGGAATCACACGTTTGGTAGTGTACTTCATCACACGCCCCTGCCCAAGAGGGGGACGGAAAGCGTTGACAAATCCCCACCCGAGCACCGAGACGCTCGGGTTAGCACAACCAACAGTGACTAGGTAAAAGCTTTCAAAAGCAGACCTGGCCCCACATCCACTGACGGTTCACCAGCACCAACGTAATCCCTTTTCAGGGGCACCTGTCAGGCCCACCACAACCTCTGTCCTCGCTCTGGCAGGTCACCAGGGCTCCGGCACGGCTTCCCTTCAGGGCAAAAAAAAGTCCCGTTTCACAGGAGAGGGATTTAATGCAAACTCCCCTGTAGATTCTGAGGGAAAAGACGCCCGGGTCGCGTCTCACCAGGAGATGGGGAACGGCCTCGGGTCCTCCTCCTCGGCGGCTTCTTCGTCAGAGGAGTCGAAGTCACCCGCTTGCATCGCGGAGGGCTGCGGCGGGAGAAGAGCGAAGAACTCACCTGGGGGCCGGAGCCCGCCCTGCCCCCTCAGCTGAGGAGGTCCCGGTCCCGGTCCCGGTCCCGGTCCCGTCCCCGTCCCTCACCGGCTTCACCATGGCGCTGCTCCGCGACCGCCGACGGTTTGAACTGTACCCGCCCATCCGGGTCACCTCATTGGTCGAACCCTTCCCTTCTTTCGTCCAATGGGAAGCTGCCTCCCGCCGGATGCGTAAAAAGCCAAGCCGCTTTCCTTACGGCTTCACGAGAGGAGCATTCTGATTGGTGAGCAGCGAAGGAGAGGCGGGGTTTTTTAAAAAAAAAAAAAAAAAAGCCGGCGGCGGTGATCTTTGCGCTGATTGGCTGAGGCGGTGAGGCGGGAAGGGGCTGTGTCTCGAGCCCCGGGTGGCCGTTGGGGGTGGGGCGCTGTGAGGGCTCTGTCAGGGGCCGGGCGGCTGTGCCGGCAGCTACCCCTGCCCTTAATTCCTTTTTAGAGCCGGCTTCGCATTTCTGACTGAAAAAGGGATGGAAGTACGCTTTCACTGGCTTATTATACATTGCTTCCAAATTGCCCCAGCCCTTCCCATCTGGGATGCTGCTCCTGAGGTAAATGATGGAATGGTTTGGGTTGGAAGGGACCTGAAAGATCATCTAGTTCCAACCCCCCTACTGCAGGCAGGGACATCTTCAGCTAGACCAGGTTGCTCAAAGTTCCATCGAACCCGGCCTTGAACACTTCCAGGGATGGGGCATTGTCGCGAATAAGTGGTTTGGACTGCTTAAAGAATCACCGTCAAAGGTATTAGCAAAAGTGATTTAATAGGAGTTTGTAACGTGTAGAACTACGTTGTGAAGGAGCCAGGCACAAACAGTGATTTTTGGTGTCAGTGTGGAGGATAGCGTCATGGAGACTTTCAAAGATGTTGTTTGAAGTCAAAAGTATGGCTGTGTACAAATTCCTTAAGTGGTTTGAGTTTGGTGGGATTCCCGGTAGGGCCAGTGCAAGATCTCCAGGTGTGGAGATTTTAGATTTTAGTTCTACATTAGAAACATTAGTTCCACAGCTGGAGGTTTTAATGAAACCTGCCTGAGAAGGATTGTAGAAGCAAATTGCTTAGTACCACAGGATTTAGGGTAAGTTCAGGGAATGAAGAAACAGATGATGAGAGGATCAAGGAGAAAACCAGTTTATTAAAACCCGGAATATGATAGCAGATGTACAAAAATTACATTACTGAGCATAATGGAGAATTAAAACAATGCAGATGTTGCCGACTAAGATGAGAAATGGAAAGAAATACAGCCTAAGAATTGAGGCAACATGAGGACACCCAGCCACTGTAGCTGCAAACATCGTTTTATTAACTCCTATAGCCCCTGCTTGAAGGAACAGGTGTGTTGTTTGCTTCTGTTCACCATCTTGTTAGCTCTGGTCCCCTTGGAGATTATGTGCAACACTCATACTGTCTGATATAGATGTGAAATTTGCCATATTTTTTTCCCCCATGATTGATTTTACCTATTCATGTGAAAGGTATTGCAGATTTTAACTCTAAGGATTATATCTTTATGGAAGCAGTGACATAAGACTGATAAATACAAAAAAATAACAACAATGATAACGCTCCTTGTTGTTCTTTGAAAAGATCAAAGGAATTCTCTGGAGCTTGGGTGCCTTCACGTGGTAGAAATAATTTTATTACATGGAATCTAAAATGGTGATAACAGCTGGTAATGCCAAGGGATCTGCAAAATGTGAGGCTAGAGCTTGGTCTGTTGTGGCAGAAATGAATAGGTATAGTATATAAGTGTGAAATCTGAAGTAAATGTAGGGAAGAGGTTGGAAAAAAACCCCAAACCAAACCTGAGGAGGTCCTGTGAGGTTCCTTCTTACCCCAGGCATCTTGCAGCATTAAATGACAAATACTATGTTTATTAGCTGACTACCTGCTATGGTTGTCTGCTTATTTCTTAAATTGAGCTGTTGCCCAGCACATCAAATTGTAATGTGCTAAAGCTTCTAGATCAGCTTGGCTGTGATGTATTTTATAGGAAAGACTAACAGGAGTTGGTCTGCAAGAAATTGTCCTTTTGGCATATAAAAAGGAACACATCAACATCAAGGCTTTACCTTCTGGAAATTTTTGTCAGTTTATAGATTGAAGGTCTGTGCAAAGTGAAGAAAAATAGCCATGAGCATGGGCTGAAATACATAGTTTGGAAGATTTATTTCATTGGTGAGAGAGGGTTATGAAGAAGGTATGATTTAACCAGAATTTTAATTGGGCTTTTAGATAAATGGTTGGGCCAGGAACTGCTGTCTACAAATACCTAATGGGAGGGTCTAAAAAAGGCAGAGCCAGACTCTTCTTAGAGATGCGTAGCAGAAAAAGAAGAGACAATGGACAAAAGTGAGAATATGGGAAGTCTCTACTTCATATAAGAATTGCTTACAGCGAGTGTTGACAACAACAATCAATAAAAATATGGGTGGTAAGTTTGTGCTTACATGGTAGCTGCTTGGGGTTATGGTTTTTTGGTTGGCTTTTTTTGTTGTCGTTGAGAGAGAGAGATAATAACGCTTATGTTACGTGACGTAAGACACTTATGCCTCTAATACAATAATAAATACCCTCCCAGAGACACTAAAAATAATTTACAGTGAGGGGGGTCAAACAGCAAGATTTTCCAAGCAGCCCGATGTCCCAGGCTTTAAATACATGTATGTAGAATGGGTTTGTGGTCTGGCAGCAAAATCTGTATACAAAATTTGTAATGTAAGAAAATGGTGTATGAAAACCCAGACAGGTCTAGTGGGTTAGCTAAGAATTTTCTCATGGACCCGATTGTGACTCCTGTGAAAGCAATCCTCTACAAACCTATCTGGGTTCCAGGTCATTTTTATTTCTCATTTCTCAGCAAACAGTCAAGCTCCTGAGAGCCCAGCTGGCTTTTGAATGTTACTCTGGTTACGCCTGGCTCTTGTGTCTGTGTACACCAAACCAAAGACAAAGGGAAGATCTTTATACCATGAGTTATAGCTTGTCGTAGCGGTAAAGTGTTAAAATTCTGATTGCCAGACAAATACAGTTAAGCCTAACCTGGTTTTGCTGTCCTTGGGTCAGGGGAAGAGCCCTCATCCCTGGGGACTGTGGAGTGGTTCATATATGTAGTATCTTCTATCTGCTATTCTACACTCAGGTTTCCTGGACAAAATAAATAATTGATTTACTTCAGGTAAAAGCCTAGGAGCAAACTAGTGTGTACGCAGTGGAGACACCCAGGGACTAGTGTGAAAGGAGGAGTGAAGGAACTTGATGATATATAGTCTCAGCATGTATCTCATTCAAACATAAACCTTTAACAAACAAGCTATGTTCTTTTCCTGCAAGGAGCCAAAATGAGATCTGAAATGTCAAAACCATCAAAATAATTTTAAGGTCATTGGTAACTGATTATTCCAAACAACCATATGTAATGCCAAAGACTTGTTAGTCACCTCTCATTTCATATCTCAGTTTCTGGAAGTTGCGTTTTAGTAAGACTAATTAATATATGTAGTGTTCCAAGAGATACACTGTAATGTCTTTGGGAGCACTCCACTGGTGATATCACCAGAAGATCCCACAGGGCATCATTTCAATTTTTGAGATTGTTGTTTTTGGAGGGAAAAAATAATAGGTGGAACAGAGTTTCAACATTTTCAAGCATCTTCTCTTCCCCCCCCTTCACTTTAAATTGTATGTTTGTGGAAAACTGAACCACTACATTATAAGCTTTACATTGCACCTCACAATGAGGATATGAATGGAAAATTCTTGTTACGTGAGATGAAATTGTGTAATGTTTGGAGAAACAGTTCTAACTTGAGACACAAAAGAAAACTTTAGAATTGCAAGCACAATTTTGGGAGATTCTGTGTATTTTCCACATCATTACTTAGATCTTCAGCTACGCTTGAGTTTGTTTTGTTAGGGTTTTTTTCTAAAACTGTGCCAATAAAACACGGACAGAAATATTTGTGAATGGTGATTGTCTGCTCCAAGCCAAAGTGTTTGCTGAAGGCAGATTCTTTGCAAGGTGTGTTATTTCAGAACAACAAGGAACTGCTCTCGTACTCCAAATTTTTTGAGGGAACTTTTTTTTTTTTCATGTGCATGTGGGTTTTCATTGCTTTCCATCACAACCCAAATACATTTGTGGCAGACAGCTTCCTGGAAACATAAAGCTCATGGATTGGCTGTCTTTTCTGTCAATAAGGCTTCAGAACTGTAATTTCTCTGTAGCTCTGAACAAAACCACCCTGCCTACTGAGAACAGCTGTTGACTTGCAGAGTGACTTACTTGAGAATATAGTCTTATATGCTGCTGCTGCTGCCATAGAACTGGATTTATGGACTGTTTTGCCAGGATAGTACCATGGAGTTAAGAGTTGAAAGAAAGACAGAGGGGCTTAAGCTCTGTCTAGCCCTATAAATCCATTTGTCTATTGAATTAAAACCAGAACTGAGATTTGGCCCTAAAGCTGGTGATGAAAACCAGTGTTGTAGGTAAATAAAGTAGTATTCTGTGCAGTATTGTAATGGTTACTGGCAATTGTTAGTGGAGATGAACTTCTACATTTCTAGGCAGGGTGCAGCCCTGCTTTTATTAAGACTAATGACATAAGTGTCACTGGGATCGGGATATTTTGACTTGCAGTCTTCAACAAATCCCTGTTTATTCTGGATTGAAATGTGAAGCCTTTAATAGCTACAAAGAAGGTCTAGTGCTTTTTGGAGTTAAGAATTGTGCCATCCTGTGCAGTTGACATGAGATGGTCCATGTTTCTTGTCTGCCCTTCTTTCATCACAGTTTTCTCATTTTTATATATGTATTTTTATTATTTTTTCTGTTTGTGTTAAATACACAGAAGTTATACCTAATGTGGTAAAGAAAGTCTCTGTATTGGTACTTTTTGTTTTGTTTGTTTCTGTGACTTGTTCTTTCTACAGTGGTCTGTATTTAAAAGCAAGATTTTCCCTACTGTGTGATTCCTTTTGTATTTCAGAAATTACTCCATTAAATGGAGTAAAAACAAAAAATATTTTTAACTTAGTTTTTAGCACAGTGTGGTTTG